CAAGCCCTCCCTCCCTTCCGCACATTCCGCTCGCCCCAATCCCCCCTCCTCTCCCCCGGGGCTTGCTTCGCAGGCTACCTAGATCCAAAACTACAAAACACGCAGGTACTGAATGAGAAGGTCATAGTACGTAACTGAATCGAGGTTAGACACCGGGGGTTTATGGCCAATGGTTGGCTCACCAGTATTGGTAAACCTTAGACAAGTCATTGTGTTATAGTCTTGCGCGAGACACTTTTTCTCCCGTCACCTCACTCCAACCACGGTTAGTCAAAAGTCCTACCAACTGATTTTATAACATAACCAAAGTAAAGCGCGCGCTCTGATTGGTCAATTTAGCGTGCCCCATTTTCCCATAGGTGTACGCTGCTGACGTGAGCAAATGCAAAGACTAGTTTTCCGCGGGCACTTGTTTTTTCTGGTCACGTAAGATTTGTTAAATAAAAGGGAACTCTTTAGCTACAATGTATCAATGTTATGTTATAAAACAAATGGTAAACACCACAGCGTACACTATTGAGTTATGGATGTACTTGGGAGGTTTGCTAAGCACTCAAGAAGTTAGAGTCGCTCTCGGCTATCGCCTCGAGCGACTCTTACGCTTCCTTCGTGCTTAGCAACCTCCCGCGTGCAGCCATAACTCACTAGTGTACGCTGTGGTGTTTACCATTTGTTAATTAAGGGAGTCACCTGCATTGGATTCTAGCAGCCCTACAGGTTAGCACAAACCCCTAGTTAAGAATAAAGTATGTTTCTGATTATTCGAACCGTCGAGAGAAATTCAAAAGATCAGTTGTTCAAGCTATCGTGGAAAAATCATGAGAAAAATGATCAAGTCGCGAGACTGTTACTTAGTCGAAGGTTCGAGTTTCATAAAAGTCATATTTATACAACTGTACTGCAAACATCGATAACATATTGGCTAATCTTTGGTAATTAATTCTTCAGGCGCAATCAATGTTGGAACTGAGGAACCATTGACAGGTAAGTTCCGTAATCACTAATGTCGCAGTCTGATTGGCCAATTTGCCGTTGTCGATAACAGTATAGATAACGGTGCTCGCGTCAACGTGTCAGGCGCTGAATGGATTGTTTTATTTGACATCGATGTTGTGGTTAAAAAACCAAATTTACAATGCTTTAGCGTGGTCTCGCGTTGGTCTCACGTTGCGGACTCACACTTTAGTCTTGCGTTGCGAACTCAATCGGCTGCGCCTAGTGTGTCCACAACATTTTAACGACTGTGATGACAAGTTTCGCTGTCGATAAGAGTAGAAACCACGCTAAACCACTGTCGATTTGTTGTTACTGGGAGATGGGGAGGAGGGGGCAGAATATCTATTGCAACTCGCACGAGAACGCGTCAGTTGAAAGAATGTGACTACAGCAAATTGCTTGTTACGGAGATTTGGGTGAATCTCTCTTGACAATTAGTTACGGTGTTCTAAAATCTTAGAACTGATCTCCTTGCGCATGCCTGACGCGACGTCGAACCACTGTGTCGTGTTAAGTCAGGTGTGCCAATTACACTGGCATAAACTCTCTTGATTCTATTTAGCTGGAGAAGCAATTATTCGGTTCTGATATTGGGTCCACTGGTACATGACTTTAGTGCCCACCGCCCTCTGATTGAATATTCTAATTCCCTATGTTTAAGTCTTACGAGATTCCTAATTGCTAATTTCAAGCTTTTTTCCTTCTCTTTTTCATCCCTCATACAGTAAAACGACTTCCCGGGATCCACGCTAGAAAATCACAAAAGGACAAGAAAACTGGCACAAGCAAAGTAGCAATCGGGCTTATAGTAACTTTTATTGTACTTCTTGTAATCGCTATAGGAATTGTGGGGGTTTTGTTTTACAGGAAGAGACGAGGAAGTCGTCACTTCGACTATCAGAAACAAATACTTTACTCGGAGGACAAAGCAGATGAATTTGAAATTTTCACTTGATGTTTCAAAATGTTCTCTATAAGAACTCTTTCATATAACTGATGGGGCTAAAAGCTTTTCTTTTGTATATATATGAATCAGTTTTATTAGCTTCGTACACGTTCGAATAATTTCGTTTCAAAAACGAGGCCAAGAGAATTTAATTGCAAGTAATTATGCCCGCTATTTACTGACGAAGTAGTGCATAACAAAAAAGAGGATCTTGAATGTTATTTAATGAAAATTGTCCCCACGTACCACGGACAATAGATGTGACTCGCTTTTGAACTCTTTCTCTAGCCTGGGAAAATAGAGCCTGTACATAGCTAAAAGCATTACATTATCTTAGTCTTTGAAGACCGTTGATAAGGCTCACCGCCTATAAACTTTGGCAAGCTCACCGGTACAAAATCGTTGAAAATTAATCGCTTATATGACTGGAGATGTTTGCAATAGACACGGGGGAGCCAACAAATTATGGGACCGAAATTATGGGAGTAATGAAAAGCTTCATATTTTGGAACTAAATTGCGATGAATTTTCTCTTTTAACCTGAAAAGTAACGAACTTAAATTACCTGGAATGTATAAAGGGGGCAAGTTTCTAAAGAAACAGTGGTGCTGCGTCGGTGAGAGTTATTACAAGATAATTTGGTTTTATCAAAGTTGAGTATGCAAATTGGGCTTCGTAAAGAGTCTCTAAAGCTGATGGTTCGAGCGTTAAGCCGTCTTCAGAGCGAATATAACTTCTAGGTAATCTTTCAAATCGCCAGAATTCGCCTTCTTTAGCCACAGAAACGATCATGCCCTAGACTGATCTAAATTAAATTATGCAAACGGTCACATCATTTGTGTGGGTCTCCGTGGGATAGAACGGTTTGTTGTTTACCATTGGCAGGAGAAGAAAGACTTTGACTCTTGCCATTAGTAAACACAATGTCTTGTAAAGGGTAAAATAAACTTATCCTGGCCTCACAAAGTTCACTTCTCCACGAACATGCACGTTTTTTTTTTTTTTAACCAAGTGAGCCATTTTAACTAAGAAATTAGCCAACATTGGAAAGTTTTAAATTAAATTTAGGAAAAACCCTTAAGTTAGTTTTTTCGTTGTCGTATTTAGGAAATCGAAAATATAAGGAAAGGTGCGTTTTTTCCTCGGCGGAGGGAGAAGGAGGTAAGGGTGGGGCCTCAGAGGGGAAGGTGAAAGAGGTGGGGGGCATTAGGGTTTGCGGTTTTGCGGTTTTTGCTATTTGTTAGATCGGTTTTATGGTTTTTGTGCAAAAAACTTCGGTTTTTCGGTTTTGTTGTTCATTGCGTTTTGCGGATTTTCCGTTTTCAGCATTTCGTTTTCGGTTTTCGGTTTTCGTTAAATTTGAATAGCCGTGAAACCTATGTTGCTCCACTTGTAATCACAGTATCAGATCGATTAGGATTTTGACAGCTGAGCTGTGCAAATTTATTGGTTTAGACGGTTTTCTATGGGTAGTTTGGAAAATAAGGAATGCCGGCATTCGGAACCGGAACCGGAATACTCTGAATACCCGGAATTTCCGGAATGACCGAAAAATAATAAATTTTTAAAAAATAAAAGTAAATTAATAAATAAATAAGAATGTTGATGATTAAAAATTGATGATAAATTCATAACTTAATTAAATCATTTCAAACAAAATTTTTCCCTGAGGGTCCCCCCCCCCCCAAAAAAAAACACTTACTGGTGCTGTTCATGGAGATGCACGTATTAGAAGTAAAAAAAGTCTGCGTCAGGCCAGTAGCCCATAGAGCCTAAGCGACGAAATATTTCTACTCTCCCTTCCCCCTGGATGGGATGCTAATCCATCACATGGTTTCTCCCCGTTTTAAATTCGCCTCCACCCATTTACACACCTGTAGGATGTCTAGGGCGCCATGACCATTAGGCCGCCACGCTTTTCCAGCCGGAATCATTGCAGAAGATTAAACAAATGCAATATTTCCAATTAGTTTAATAGTTCAATTGTAAAAAGCTCCGAACTATTACAAATTAATACTCTACCTTAAATAATTATTAACCACACATTGGGAGCTATCAAAGCAGCTACCATTAAGACCAGCCGTCTACAGTTAAAATTGAGAGATCGTCAGTTACTCGACACCTTTTCGCGTTTATT